AGAGAAGGAGAACGCTCACATGTTAATGCATGAAGCGTGACGTGAAGCAGGTGCTCCTGGTTGAAATACTTACACCCGATGTGATGAGGCCGTACAGCACCACCAACAAATCATCGAAGAACTCCCAAGTTTATCAAATGAGCAAACCTTCAGGAAACAATTGCAACCATGTTAATCAAGAACACCGAGGAAAACGCTTTGTAACGGTGTAATAACACTATAATAAAGCAGTTATACACATCAAGTGCTTCTTACTTCGCAAGACCTTCTAAAACGGAGGGCAGTAAGATGGGCTTCTGAGCTTTCTTCAGTATTCTGAAGTAGATGAGGAACACAATGTTCAGCGTCTCTGTGTGCTGGAATCAAACGATGGACCAACAACATACAAGAACACATTCATGCATTAAAAGGAACAGGCTCTCCATCTACTGTAGTAAGACTCACCGATTGAATTTTCTTCTCCTTGCTCTCTGAAGCCTCAGCTTCTAGAAGTTCTTTCTGCAGCTTCTCCTCTGCTTTCTTCCACTGTTGAGGACAAGACGATGGTGGATCACGGTCACAAAACAGGTATAACACTTTTCCAGAAGCTTGAGGAAATATATTTGGCATTCATTTGCTCCACAGGCATTTCAGAAAATTCTTCATATAAAGACAGATTTCATTAATAAACTCTTTCTAACTCTGCACTTGACCATTAAACGTTTCGTTCACATGCTTTCAGATGGAGCAGCATTTATTACACAGAGCCGTAGTTCACTGAGAAGCTATGCAAACAAGCTGTCATTATCGCGAACGATTTCAGAATCGCGCAATAAAAGCGATTTTTTTGCGTAACTTGTCAGTGAACTACGGCTCTGTGTAGTAAATGCTGCTCCATCTGAAAGCATGTGATGATGATTTCCTGCTGATTACAGAACCAGCTTTACTAACAAAATGCACATGACAATCGCATTCGATTAATCGTGCAGCCCTAAAGGTTATTATAAAATATTTAAATATACACTACTTTTCAAAAGTTTGAGGTCAGTAAGACTTTTTTTATTTATTTATTTTTTTTAAGAATTGAATACTTGAATTTGCCAACACAAGGCTGCATCAAATGATATGATAATGTAACACAAAATATATTTAAATTAAAAGCTGTTCATTTGAACTTTATATTCATTAAAGGGGTCATATGATGCGATTTCAAGTTTTTTCACATGACCCCTTTAAAGAATTCTGACAACAAATGTATCATAAAAAAATATTACATTTCCACAAAAATATTAAGCAGCACTGCTGTTTTCATCATTGATAATAATCAGAAATGTTTCTTGAGCAGTAAATCAGCATATTAGAATGATTTCTGAAGGATCATGTGACACTGAAGACTGGAGGAATGATGCTGAAAATTCAGCTTTGATCACAGAAATAAATTATAATTAAAAAAATGATTAAAATAGAAAACAGTTGTTTTAAATTGTAATAATATTTCACAATATTAGGCTAGTGTTTTTACTGTATATTTCATCAAATAATGCAGCCTTGGTGAGCAGAAGACACTTCTTTCAAAAACATGAATACATCTTACTGACCCCAGAACTTTTGAATAGCAGAGTAACTTGAGAGAGTTAATAACATTCAGCTCAGTTCAAACCTTCCGCTGCATCCTGGACAAATTAGTCCTCTTCTCCTTGAAGGACATGAACTTCTTTTTGGGCGCAGTAACATTATAAATGTCTGTCACTTTTGATCAATTTAATGCTGAATAAAAGTGTTATGGGTAAAGATTTTAGGGTAGTCAGGGAGTTTGAGAGTTTATTAAAAACTAATAAAAAAAAAAAAAATTAAAATAAATCATTTTAAAATAAAACAATCAAAATAAAACACTAGAAAAGATGAAATAGTTTATTCGTTTACCTGCATGTCATGTAACCAATAACCAACATCAGAAAGCAGTGAGCATGCAAATATGTTGTTAAATTATTGAAATAAATCTCAAATAAATATTTAGCATCAAAAGGATTCGAACAACAAAAAAGTTACGATTTTTTTTTCTCCTAAAACACGACATGGCAACACAAACTACTACAGCACTTTCTTAAACACACCCTTGAGATTTCAAGAGGTTACGCTTGAAAAAATCCACACCAACCGTTTGTTAATTCATCCTGGTCATCTGGTTCCTCCTCTTCCTCCGCCACAACTAGAGGAAACAATCAGACGGTTAATCACAAATGTGACCCTGGACCACAAAACCAGTCATAAGGGTACATTTTTTAAAATTGAGATTTATAAATCATCTGAAAGCTGAATAAATAAGCTTTCCATTGATGTATGGTTTGTTAGGATAGGACAATATTCCAAAATCTGGAATCTGAGGGTGCAAAAAAAAAAAAATCTAAATATTGAGAAAATCGCCTTTAAAGTTGTTCAAATGAAGCAATGCATATTACTAATCAAAAATTAAGTTTTGATATATTTACAGTAGGAAATTTACTAAATATCTTTATGGAACATGATCTTTACTTAACGTCCCAATGATTTTTGACATAAAAGAAAAATCTATAATTTTGACCCATACAGTGTATTTTTGGCTATTGCTACAAATATACCCCAGCGACTTAACACTGCTTTTGTGCTCCAGGGTCACGTATCATCCTCTCTAGACCCACAGCGGGTTTCTCTATGCTCTGAGGGATCAGGCCGCTCTTGTCTTTGATGGGAAGCAGGTGAATGAGTTCTTTCTGCTCCTCCTGCTGTATCTTCCTGGGCATCTTCTCATACTTCTCCACCGGCTGTTCAGTCTTGCGCTTTTTGGCATGTACTGGAGCGCTACAAAAGAAAAGAGGAAAAATGCTCTCAACAGACATCCGCTGGTCACGAGTATAAAGTCTTGAGAGAAATTAACGTCAAGTGATTTAATAACAAGGACCAAAGCATATGTTTTAAACACTGCTGCCTACCATGATGAGATGTCTCGAGTCAGAAAGGAAGCTTTCTTTGCCAAGGCTTTGATCTGTTCTAGATCATCCTCGTCCATCATGTCTACAGGCAGAGACTCCAGGAACTCCTCCTCCTCCTCCTCTTCCTCCTCTGTTGTGATACATCAGCATTACAACGCTGTCTCAGTGTTGAGCACGAGAGTTAATGAAAATGATCCGAGAACAGTTTCTCTCACCTGGTTTCTTCTTATAGCGCTCCAGGGGTTTGAGGGTCTTGTGGGAGACATCTGTAATGGCTTGCCGAAGCGTCCTCTGTTCTTTGCGTTGTTTCTTAGCTGAACTCTGTTGCTTAAACTGATGATTCTTCAGTTTGTTTTCTAGCTTCAGATTGCTGCTTTTCAGTAATTTTTTGAAGCTAGGCTTCTTTTTCTTGTTCCTTTTGGAAGTCTTTCGTTTGAAAGACACATAAGCACATGATAGAGTATGACGCAATTATACATAAGACAAGACATAACGTCTTTAAACATATGAAGCAAAATGAAAAATTCAGAGGCCGACTTGCATTGTACGATATGCCAAAAAGTGATTTTCATTACTGTTTTCCATCAGATAGTTTGCTTCAAAATATTAGATTTTAAATACTTTTACTCTATATTTAACTTAAATACTGCAATAACTGAAAATCAGTGTAAAATGTGTTATTTTATAGAGAAATAAATGGTGTTTAGATTAGATGCGAATAGTTTAGTACAATGGAATCCCCTCAACATATAATAACATATTATTTAACTACTTATTGCTTTCAGTCTAAGTACCAGAGAGTTAACTAAAACAATGAGAGGTTAACTCTTAGTATATATGATATGATATATGACAAGATATACAGTAGGGGGTTGACAAGTATGCTATATATTATATAGAATGACAGTGTTTATACTATGGAAGCCCGTTTCCACCACTGAATAAAAAATAAAAAAGGTAATTGCTACTTTTTCATCTCACAATTCTGACTTTTTTTCCTCAGAATTGTGATATATAAACTTGCAATTCTGAGAAAATATCAAGTCTTTTCCCCACCTCAAAATTGGACTTTAAGTTTATATCTCACAATTGTGACTTTATAACTCGCAATTCTGACTT